CTGCTGATCGATTTGTAATTGCTGCTTCGATCCATGATGAGCTGCATTTATAATGTCAGACTGTTTGTGTTAGCACTTCTGATGGCCACCTTATGTTTTTAATGCGTATATGCTGGTGGACATACTGAGACTGCAGTCTGTATAAACTTTTCCACAAGGGACAGTGATGGATGTTTTGTGTTTTTTCGTTGGCATAGAAGTAGAGCAACTATGGGGTGACCCATTTGCTATGAAGCTGAAACTATGATTACCAGATTATTATCATTACCGCTAGGAACAAAGCCCTGCATGTTTCACCAAATGATATCTTGCTGACTAGTGTGGCAATCATTCTTCTTCAATCTTGCCAAAATCCTACTATGTGTATCAGTTTTTATTCTGAAATTTTTTTGGTGATATGATAAAATGTTGGTAAGAATCTTCTTGCATTGACTTCCTTTATCTCTTTCCTTGGTTACATAACATTTTTTTTTTTTTAATGTGGTCAGAAATAATGACTACCCCTTTCTGGTGTTTGTGAAAAGTTGTGTATCTTCTTCTTCTTCACAATCAATGGTTGTAAACTCTGGTGGATAGTTCTGGTTGTAGTCTTGTTCCAGAGCCTGAGTGTTGCAAGCACATCCATTCTACAGGTCAGACTCATTTGTATGCAAAGCCTCTGAGGCTTGAGAAACTCTGCTTGTGGCTCTGCTACCGCCAGCTTAGCTGTCAAAAGAAAGAACATATACTGGCAACAAAACCACAATAAGAATTGACAGCCATTCAAGAAAAGTGCACAGAAAAATATCAGGGTGGCTAGTATGTAAAGTGTTCACTTATTTGTTTACTTATAGTGAACATATGAGGTTTATATGAAATATACCACAAAATTAAGTTGATGATCACAGTATAAACTACTTATGGTGTGCTGATGATGCTCATTTACAAAGTAAAATAGTAAAATAATAGATAACATGCTTGGTAGTAGAAAGTCTAAATAGATATTTGCATTCTTTGTTTGAAATGCAAGTAAGTGAAATTTACGATAATTTATGCAAATACAGCTTCCAAATGGTAGTATACGAAACCACTCCACATTTAATATAGATACCACTCCAAATGATATACAGTTAATACACCATATATTATACTACAAATACAACAACAGATGTTATACAGATGCTACAGCAACAATTATTATAAAAGTTAGTTAGTTAATCGGCAGATTGTCCTCATTGCACATCAGACAAGCCCATAAGCATTCGGATCCCATCTTCAGTATTTCCCTTAGAATGTGGCGACATAAAACCAAAATGGTGGGTCTTCTGGGGCAAAGTGTCAGTGGTTATTGTTGTGTTTTCTAACCGCCACTAATTATACATAAAGAGAATGGAATTTTGTGAATTGTTTATAGTTAGTGGGATGCAAAAGTAACAAAGGAAGTCCATTTTCTCCCTCAAGATTTTTGCCACTGCTAGTTTCATGCATCTAAGCTGAAATCAATTGGAAATATGTTCAACATGTTATACAAATACTATTCCAACAAATGGTATACGGACACCATTCCAACAGATGTTATATAGATACTACCCCGGGATATGTAGTACAGTTACCATTCCACCAGGTGTTATATAGATACTACCCCAGTATGTGTTGTACAGATACCATTGGAACAGATGATATACAGACACTACCCCAGTAAATGTTGTACAGATACCATTCCAACAGATGTTATATATAAACTACCCCAGTATATGTTGTACAGATACCATTCCAACAGATGTTATATAGATACTACCCCAGTATATGTAGTACAGTTACCATTCCACCAGGTGTTATATAGATACAACCCCAGTATATGGTGTACAGATACCATTGGAACAGATGATATACAGATACTACACAAGTATATGTTGTACAGATACCATTCCAACAGATGTTATATATATATACTACCCCAGTATTTGTTGTACGGATACCATTCCAACAGATGTTATATATATATATATACTACCCCAGTATATGTTATACAGATACCATTGGAACAGATGATTGATATACAGATACTACCCCAGTATATGTTGTACAGATATCATTCCAACAGATGTTATATATATACTACACCAGTATGTTTTGTACAGATACCATTCCAACAGATGATATACAGATACTACTCCAGTATATGTTGTACAGATACCATTGGAACAGATGATATATAGACACTACTCTAACAGATATTATGCATCTACCACTCTAACAAATTCTGTACAGACCCTACTCCAAATGGAATACATTTACCACTCCAAATTTTACAGACACCACTCTGTACAGTGGACGGACTTTGCTGAGTCTGATTGTATGCCTGTCTTGCCTTTCATCTGAATGTTGAGTGTCAGCAAGATCCCCAGGTCTCCCTCAGCTGGACCATTTTCCTCTGACCATGATGGTCTCTTTATGATTTCTTTAGGACAATGACCAGTGTTGTTTATGGAGTGAAGTTATTTACAGTTTTTGCCACTTTCAGTGTTTTCATTATCCACTATACTTTTTATTCACAATCCATGATGTCACATAGTGATCACAGTTCAATTGTCCACTTCAATCTATCCTGTGCAATTGTTTCACTATCCTAAATGGAAATCGTCCAGCACCGCCTCTTCTCTCATCAGTGCTCATCTTAGGGTTTCTTTTAGGTTTCATTGTTTCCTTAATCCATTTGTTTCTCATTTAAGTGCCTGTTTGTTAATTCTGCATTTGCTTCTTCTCAGGATGTATCTAAAATAATGCCATCCTATTTGTCTTATAAATGCTGATGCTAGTGGCTGTCCCGATATTCTTATTTTTTTTCAACTGTCTTGAATCCAGCCCATGTAATTAATGTTTATCAGTTTGCCTAGGCATTTGTATTTTGATTGCATTTAACTTTCGCTCCATGTCTATAGTAAGTTACCTATATAGTTTGTAGAGTTCCATATTTTGTTCAGGCTGTACTTTTAATTTTTTTTCCTAGCATTCACCAACTGTAAGCTGGAGCGAGAAGTTTGGTTGTATGTCCACTTGTGGATTTTGGTCTTGTTTCATAACTTGAGTTTTGCATGCACAACCATTTTACAGCGCTCATTTATTTAAATTCAGACTATTGGTTCCGTACCTGTCAGGCAGGTGCACTCTGACTTTGAAGGAAACCCCCCTGATTAGTCACCTTTTGCGGCATGCTTGTTAAAGAGGCAGTGGTTTCCTCCTCCAGAGCCCACACAGGGATTACACTTTTTTTAAAACCTTGTTTATTCAGTGATAATATTTGTTTATTGATGCTTACGCCCGGCTCTCTAGCGTAGTTGGTTAAACCTGACATCGCGGTGACGGGTGACGAACTCCTTGTGGTCCGGGGGTAGGCAGAAAAGTAACATTTCTCCCAGATTTGCGGTACCTAACATGGAATCGAGGCCAAAGGGTTGCGATATCCATAGTACCGAGCCAAAGAGTTAAGAACTCATGGTTTCTGGATATTTAAAAAAAAAAAAAATTGATGCTCACATAGCCTTTATTGCTATGCCAAGTAATGAAAATTTCAAGTCACTTTGGCTGAGATAGAATCTTGTTGTGTAACTTACTGGCATGTGCTAGCATGGTTGTCCATATCTTGCAGTCTCCAAGAGCATTTAGCACTTCATAAAATGATGCCTTTCTGTGCCTTCGCAGACGGCTGTCAAGATTATTATGTCTTTGTCTTATTGTTTCTCTTTCTAAAATTCATAGTAGTTGTCATGTTTCAGTTTGTATCTTCCCATAATGTGACTAAAAATTACATCTATCCTCTTATGATATGTTGTATTTATGCCCTAGCCTCAGTCAAAACATTTAGATTACTTTTTTGAACTATCCAGTGAGTTTTCAGTATTTTTGTTTAGAACCATATTTTGTAAAACATGCTTCTTGACATATTTATAAAAGAAATAGATCAACAGTTGTAGGAGTATATGTTTAAGGCATATCAGCTTTTTGCTTATCCTGTTCAAAACTGGTACATTTCAGTTTGTAATCTAAAATTTGTTAAGCATCAGGAAATAAATGAACCATGCAAATAACATTTTAAACTATTTTAACCCTTTTCATACTCAGAGGACAGTTGAATAGTTATAAATTGATGCATTATGTGTTTTTTGGGATAGTACCTGTAAAACCAGAAATTTCCAGTTGTCAAGGGTGCATTGGTCTCTATATTTGAGAAAGTTAGTTAATGAAAATCACCCAGAATACCCATCATTGTTTTCCATGAATAAATTGAAACAGACTTGTCTTGGCAAAGTCTTTAGCATACACACACATTAACTGCATAAGGCAGACAACCGATGTTCCAACAAAAACAGTCTGCAGTTAGAATTACAGTTCATCATCGCAACTAGAATTACAGTTCATATTTGATGATGGAAGCAGCAGTTACAACAAATCAGAAGTTGAGACACAATATTACATAAAACACCACCAGTTTTATGCAGCAGACCACCTACTATTTTCTGAATCTGTGGTTCACAAATAAAAATCACCATTACACAGTCGGCAGCATCCCACATAAAGTCCACAGCTGACATAGTTATACCATGGCCTCAGAGTAGTAGCTGTTCCAGGAAACTGTATACTTTCAGTCCATAAATGGGGAAAATGCGACAACTAACCTTGGCTAGAAGCAAATAGTTTGCCAAGACTAAAGCAGTCAGCCTGCCTATACACCATTTTGGACCGGAAGTCTGAGAAAGAGAAATCAAGAGAGAGAGAGAGATAGAGAGAAGGATATGGTTAGGGAGGGAACAAGTTTATGTATGAATTAGTGAGTGAATTGGTGTACAGTCTCACTTTATGTGAGCAATAATAACTTTCAGATTTGCGCACTATGAGCCTGGTTTTTATCAGTAGATTCTAATTGTGCATGAACTTGCATGTTTAGTTTTGCAGTGTTCATTAATATTGTTTCTTTATTTACATTACAGATTTTAATCTGAACAGCTTCATTTTCTGTCAAGATGGAGAAAGTTGCTGAGCTGATGGAATTTGAGAAAGATTCTGATTCAGTTACTCAGGATTTACCCAGTTCTTCTGAGTCGTTTGAATATCAGGATGGGCAGAAAGAGACAACCTCGGAACTGAAAATGATAGATGGTGATATTCTCGACATAGCAAATCAAGTTGGAGAGGAGATGGAGGAGAGTGAAGCTGGTGACACAAGTCTGCCAGATGATCTTTCTTTTTTGGATGGAGCTGAAGCTAAGGAGACGTCTGTGGAGGTTGATGACCCTGCCCTGTCGTTTCTTGTGAACAGTGGCAAAATGGAAGTCACTAATGACAGTTTAAGCTTTCTTGAAGATCAGGACTTAACTGAGGCAGAAATGTCTTCAGGTGATGATGATGAATCCTATACAGATGATGAGGATTCAGAAGAAGATGATGATGAGGAGGAGGAGGAAGATGGTGATAATGACAAAGATGAGAATTGTGAAGAAAAGGTAATAAAGAAGGAAGAAGACACAGAAGATGATGGTGTGTTTGGACAAGTCTCTTTTTATGATGTTGAGTCGGCTTCAGGCCATTCAGTGGATATTCAAAAAGTGAAGAAAACTAAACAAAAGCGGTCTAAGAAAAAGCGTAAGGCAGGTGAAGATGGTGAATCAAAAGGTACGAAAAGAAAGCGCAAAAGGAAACGGCGAAAGACGGAAGACAATGATGATGATGAAGATGTTCCAAATGCAGGAGCAGGTTCAATGCGTCGTAAAAATATCAGGTTAGTGTTGTTTTTAAAATGTTTGTTTCTTAGAGTGTGTACGGATGCTTCGTTTTTGTTTTTGTGTGTGTGCAGTTTTGACTCATTACATACATTCTATATAAGCTGAGGCCTGTCTCTCTAGCGTAGTTGGTTAAACCGGATTGCGCGGTGAGCGGGTGACGAACTCCTTGTGGTCCGGGTTCATTCCTGGGGGTAGGCAGAAAAGCCACATTTTCTCCTAGATTTACGGTATTTACAATGGAATCAAGGCCGAAAGGTTGCGATATATCCATAATACCGAGCCTAAGGGTTAACAACTCCTGACTTCTGGATACTAAAACAAACATCAAACAATATAAGCTGAGGGTTATAAGTAATTTCCTTGTCAACAGACTGCAGCCCAATTAGTACCAAGGGAGATTGCCAAGTTATGGTGTGATCTCTTTTTTCTTCTCTTCCTCCTCCTCCTCCTCCTCCTCTAAGCCTGTCCTGCCTTTCAAGGAGAGCATTGGTTGTGCTATATATATGCTGATTTGCATGGCCTTTGATAATTTATCTCTTTATCGCTTCTGTTGGTGACCTCTAGCTGTGCTTCTGTCGTGTCTAAGAATGATGGGACTTTCTGTGGTGTACTGTCTTTTGGTAGTCTCGACACATTACCGAACCATTTGATCGGTTGTCTCTTGATAAAGTAGCACTAGTTCCATCCCAGATTGTTTCCTGATATTGTCTTTTCTGATCCTGTCTATTCTTGTTTCATTTATTGATTTTTTTCTTTTTGCTGTAACACAGCTTTGGTAAAAAAAAAATTAACTGTACTGAATAGTGCTCCTTTAGTGTCATCTGTTACATATTATTTATGCAATATTCATAATGTCTGTCCAATTTAAAATTATTTAAGTTGCGTTTACATCCGTATTATTTTTCTGATACTTTTTTTAAAAACAGTTTCATGACATTATGCTCCCTAGATACTTGAAGTATTTTGCTTGCTTCATTGGTTTTCTATTCATATCTTGATTGGTTGTTATTTTCTTGCAGTGGTCTTAACTTATGTTTTTCAGTGTTAATTTTCATGTCTAATGCTTTTGCTGCTGTGTTTAGATTATCATAGATTATCAGTAAACTACTATGTCATTACAAATCCACTTACATTCATTAACTGGTGCCTGCGCAGAATAGAGGAAATTAAATGGTATGATAGAATAACTAATGTAGAGCTTTGGGAGAGAACTAAACAGGCTCCAGTGGACCAAGAGGTGAGGAAAAGACGCTGGTGTTGGATAGGACACACACTGAGAAAACAGGAAAACAGCATAACTAGAATGTCTTTGCATTGGAACCCAGAGGGGCATAGGAATAAAGGAAGCCAAAAAACACATGGAGAAGAGAGCTGGAGAATGAAGTTAGAAAGATAGGAAGGACATGGGGAGAGCTCCATGCAATGGCGAAGGATAGAACGACTTGGCGTGAGTTGGTTGAGGGCCTATGCTTCATTGGGGGATAGAAAGGCAGAAGAAGAAGAAGAAAGGGAAAGGCCTTTTCCATACCTCTGGAGGTGTTTGATGCTAGACCTACATTTTCAAAGACTCAACTGCACTCATTTGATGTATGACATTTCATGATATCCATCTTGGGCTGGGTTGACCTGGAAGCCAGGGTAATTTTATAAAAATTGTCCCCATGAGATTTTGAACCCAAGACCTTGGGATCGGCAGGTGAGCGTCTAGCAGCTGCTCTTTCATTGTTTCTGCCAGCTAATACATGAACTGCTTTGTCACAGCAGCTCAGTATAATGTTTGGCTATAATGTTGATAGGTCGATAAAGTGTGAAAAAGATCTGGACAAAGATATGCTGTCAGCCCAGAATGAAGAGTTGGAGCGTCAGAAACGATTAATGGAGCTGAAGAAGTCTCTTCTGCGAGAGAATTCTGCTGCAGCTGCAACATCTGTGAAGGTCACGACAGTTGCAACATCATCCGCAACAGTGGTAACCAAGACAGCATCTGTTTCCACTGGCACTTCCACACCAAAGGAGAAGGATTCTCAGTTGAAGTCTCTCTTACAAGGTCAGTGCAGTGTTTAGTCCCCCACTCCTGCTCTTCTTTTTGTTGTTATTATTACTGTTGTTGGTCTTCTCCTCCTCCTTCTTCTTTTCCTGTTTATTCTCAGCTTGTTGATACTATCTTTTTCTGGTCTGTAATCTTGATTTTTTTTTCTCTCACTCATTTTCATATCTTCTTAATTAAAAATATCCATTGTTCATGGTCTTTCAACTACCACCTTTGATGTGAACATTTCTTGTCTTTCCCCTTTTGTATTTTTGTATTACTGCACATACACTGACATGTTTATTTATAATTTTTTTAAACAAGAAAATGAAATAATTCTTTCTCATAGTTGCCGAAGAGGAAGCTGATGAAGCAGAAAAGGACCGGAAACAATTAGACAAAGAGGTTGTGAAAGTGAAAAAGGAATCCAGAGAAACTTCCCCTCCCTCAGGTAAATTAATGTCTTTGTACTTGAAGATGCTTAAAAAAAAGCTTTTTAAAATATTGTTGTATTTTTAACTTTCTTGTGTGCTAGATTGCTACAGACAATTATATGGCGATGTTGATAAAAGTGTCCAAACCCCCTCCATTTGTCTTGAGATGTAATTATGTTGCGTCCTTTTACAGCATGGCTGCAATATTTTCACCTTTTGGCATCCAACTTCTTCAAGCATTTGTTGCTCCAGTTAACTTTCCCAGTTAGTTTCTTGTCACAGCCTCATTGTTGTCTTGTCCTCTTTGCTCCCTATGAACTTTTTAAAAAAAATTCATTTTGTGTCTTTTTTGCTTGACCTGAACTGAATTTGCCACTAAGCTGCATTAATTTATGGTGGTATTAAGTGTGTCATAAATCAAATTTTTTATTTCTGTTTTGTCTTTTTTTCCTAACAGAGTACAGGTCTTCAGCTCATGCTGTCTTCTATGTTAGTTCATAGATGGTTGGATGTTGCATCTGAAAGTTTCTATGTGATGAGATACCCAGTTCCATGCCAACTCTCCTTAGTTGACTTATGATGTATTTCAGTGTTCTTTGCTTCCATTAAAGACATTCCCCTATGACATACAGATGAAATGAGAACTCTGCCTAGAATTAAAAGCCAATTAGTAAAATGGTCCACAGTGAAACAGGCCATATTGATACAGTTCCTAATGCTACAGTTCCTTACGATGCAGTTCACAATTAAAGTCCATAATAATAGTCCATAATGATACAATTTCAAATATGATACAGTTCATAATACAGTAGTCCACAGTGAAAGAGTCCACAGTGGAACGCTGTACCATATTTTGTCCATGCCTGAGACTTTCTACAAAAAATAATACTTTTATAAATCTCTCCAGTTATTTAAATGACAAACTTTATGACATAATACAGTTGTTGCAGAATAGTTGAAAAAGAACAGTATGCTAGGCAGCTTAAATTGTGAATGGCAAGAACAGCACAATCATAATGATTGTCGAGTAGATGAGAAAATAATGAAATTAAGAATAAAAATGTTTGTATCTATTATATTTGAAGATTTGAGCGTAACCTAATGTATGCCTTTTGCAGCCACCAAGTAACTTGGAGTATCTTATGGTTTTGTCTGCTATGTGGCTGTTGCGGTGCAGCGTCATCATCATGTGGCAGAATACCTATGTGACCCTTGTAAAATAGGTACCTGTAATATCCTGTCCCCCTTTATGCTGGTAGACTCCTGCCTGTTTCCAGGGACCATATCTTTAGTTACTGTTCTTTCTAAGCGGTTTATTATGGTCAAAATGTTTCCATTTCTGAGACCTGATGCTGTTTTCAAGCCTGTTGTCTTTAATGTTGACATTATGCAGAATCTGGTAGGAAGCACTTGGTGATATATATAGGTTAGTTGTGTATCCTTTACAGCACGTTGCAGAACCAACCCCAACAGCCACTGGCTGGTGTGTGGTTTTTCTAGGCAAATTTACAACCAGTAGTTTGTCATTGCTTTCTCGACGGTCGACTTTCTTGATACCACTGTTGAAACCAACACAAGGCGCATGGCCCGCAGCTGGGATTGATCCTGGCATTACGAAGTGTTCGCATTGACTTAGCCACAAAGCCGACACTTGGTGATATAGTTTTGGCAATATTTGTGAGAAAAACTGTTCAGTATGTTTTAATGTTTTACACAATGTTGTTGTTCATGTTTTAGATGTCATCACATTAAGCAGCGACTCCGATGACTCAGATGATTTAGACGACGATGACTCAGATGAAGTGGTGATGGTCCCAAGCGATGAAGAAGGTGATGATGAGGAGGAGGAAGGTCCAGAGGATGTTAACAATGGAGGGGCCCATATAGATGACAGTCTCAACCTGCCGGACCCAGATGGTAGAGTTAAAGTTAACATTGGTCATCCACCAAATGAACCTGATATCTATCTGGCACCACAGATAGCACAAGCTATAAGACCCCATCAGGTATATTTTGAAGCTTGGTTTTTGTTGTAAGAAATGTTCATAAATGTTGTTTTTTAAAAATTAGCCTTCTCTACATTGTGTCATTTTTGTCTCTATATTGTGTCATTCTTGTCTCCACATTGTATCATTTTTAAATCCACATTGTGACATTCTGGTCTCCACATTATGTCATTCTTATCTCCACATTGTATCATTTTTATATCCACATTGTAGCATTCTGGTCTCCACATTATGTCATTCTCATCTCCACATTGTATCATTTTTATATCCACATTGTAGCATTCTGGTCTCCACATTATGTCATTCTCATCTCCACATTGTATCATTTTTATATCCACATTGTGGCATTCCGATCTCCACATTGTGTCATTCTTATCTCCACATTGTATCATTTTTATATCCACATTGTGACATTCTGGTCTCCATATTGTGTTGTTTTTGTTTCCACTTTGTGACATTCATATCTCCCCACACTGTGTCATTTACCTTAATTTTCTGCACGGTTGTACTTTTCTGCACATATTGTTTGAAATTTGCATACATTCCTAGGGAAACTTAACTAGAAACACAATAATCGTTCTGCTTAAAAAAATGACATCTGTGATGGGGATTTAAAACACATTACCACTGGGTTGATTAGCAAATGTGATATAACCACAGCAACTTCTGAAGCTGTCTAGTAATGTTTGGACTTATGTTTAAATTATGATTAAAAAGTTTATTGTGTTTACATTGCAGATTGGAGGGGTTCGGTTCCTCTATGATAATGTAGTTGAGTCCATAGAGAGGTTCACCACCACTCAAGGATTTGGTTGCATATTAGCCCACAGTATGGGGCTTGGTAAAACTATACAGGTAAGATATCAGTTGGGTTTAGGGGTATCTGTGGAACATATCTTCCAGCTATCAACTTGTACCACAGATTGCTGTGAAATGTGATTTGGATGTTTAAAAATACAGCATATACAATTTTCTTTGGGCACCGTCAGGGTTCCAGGATTTTGCTGAGGGATGACAAGAATAGACCCGCTGACAAACATGTCCTAATGAAGGGGTTTGCTAAATGTAGATGTGTTGGGCCGAAAGGTGTGGATTTTGTAGCCTAGCTCAGTACAGAATGTCACTCTCTCCTTTAAAAGTGAATGTAGAAGAAGACTGAGGGTTACAACGTCAGGGTCTCATGCAGGAGACCCTGGTTTGAACCCAGGTAAGTGATGGGGTTTTTCTGTCAGAGGGCAAAATTAAACATCCCTGACCTGCACAGTTCGTGGCAACTGAACTAGCCAATGTGGCCTTAAATCCTCTGGCTCATGACCCCCATTTACAATACCCTAAAAAGTGGTGAAACAGACAGTAGTGCAAACAGTCTAACACAACACATCTTACATTAAAAAAAGAAGAAATGTGTAAAAGACTTGCAAGCAAAGTGTGTTGTTTTCAAATTATTTTTGTAGACACATTTTAAATGTTTTATTTTAATGTAACCAATAGTGACACCTGATAATATGTCTGCTTTATGTTAACTTCAGTTTTGTGGATTAGTTATTTATTAAAATCCCACCTGATATTCTCTAATAATGATGAAGTGACCCAGATGATTCAGAAAATATTTTCTGGTTGGTGATGTTCACGGTTTTGATACATTCATGAAATCTGCAAGTGCCCCACCGCCTAGCCTGGGTGGTCATACCACTCTCCAACTTGTAATCTCCATGGTTTAACTCCAAAAGCCTTTGTTAAAATTGTAATGTTATTTTATAAAGCTGGCTGTCCTGCCATCTAACTTGGCGTCTCCTTAACAACCATCGCCTGTCCACAGCTGCTTTTTTTATATTTTCACCGCTAACCTCTATATCTAGAGGCCACTCAACCATCTATCAACCGGTGGGCACATCTAGTAGTAGGATCAGCTCTTTCCCTAAACATAAAAAATACATAATAGTATTAAACTTTATTTAGCGGTGTCTTAATTTTTTTTTTTTTTAATAGTTTCTAGAATATTACTCTTTTATGACAGTGGCTACAGTGGAATTATTTCTTACTGTTTTGTTGTTGTTTTCCTCTCAGCTGATCTCATTCATTGACATATTCCTACGTTTCACTGGCGGAAAGCGAGTCCTGTGTATTGTACCAATCAACACTCTCCAGAACTGGTTAGCAGAGTTTAACTATTGGCTGCCGCCTCCCGAGAAGCTCCACCCGGATGATAACCTAACACAGACTAGGACGTTTCCTTTGTTCGTCATCAATGACGGTATGAAAACAATGGCTGCGAGGGCAGCAGTTATAGGTACGTTTTAATTGTGTGTCTTAATAGTATGTAAGAAAGGAAGTAAATAAGTAATTAAGTGAGTAGGCGAGTAAGTGACTGTCCCATTTACGTCAGTGGCACTTCAGGTGTATGATGTTAGACTCATATTTGTAGACCAGTCAGTGCTTGGTTTGTGATATGGTCAACATGTCACTGCTGGCTGCCTTTACTTCCCAGGATATTTCCATTTACCAGTTTTAGACTGGGTTAACCTGGGAGCCAAGGTCAGTTTTAAAGAAAAAAATCCAACTTGAACCCAAGATCTTCGGGTCAGAAGATATGCGTCTTAACTGCTGCGCTACACACTTATCTGTTTTGTTTCAGCTTTCAGTTTAAGAGGATCAGCTTCATTGCACCAGTTTGTATTCCATATGGTGCCATTCCTCTCCTTACAATGACTAGCTGCTTGCTGAGAGTGTCACACAGAACATCATCATATGCCTTGCCACATAGCCTATGTTTTTTTATCTCCACGGATATAGGTCATTGATATGACTCGCATCTATTGATATTGACTCTGGATACCCAAAGTATTTGCAGCATTAATCTCAGAGGCAGTCCTTAGGCAGCCGTCTGTGATACTCTCTTAACTTTTATCAAATTCACTCTCAGACGTTTAGGAAGTCCTTAGGCAGCCATCTGTGATACTCTCTAACTTCCATCAAATTCACTCTTAGAAACTAAGCTTAGTAACACAATATGGTGGTTCCTCCTACTTCTACATCTGTGTTTACCTCTGCTTTTGACAATAACACTTTCTGCCCTCCCTTCACACCTCATTCTCTCTCCTTCAGCCAGTTTTTAGTGGGGGGGGGGGGGGAATTCATTGCATTCACTCCCCTCTTCCTTTCCCTTCAACAAGAATGTCATAAAAGCTGACTAATTAGGGAGTTTACTTAAATTGGATGTGTTGGGCCAAAAGATCCATGTATAGTATCCTGGCTGAAAACTACAACTTAACATGCTCACTACCCTTTTAAGAGCAAATAGGGAAGAAAAGGTGGTTAGATGCTTTGAGATTCACTGATGTGTTTTCTAATGACATTTCAGAAAAATGGAAAGAAACTGGCGGGGTGCTGGTGATAGGGTATGAGATGTTTCGCTTGTTGTCTTCGAAGAAAGTTGCTCCCAGTAAACCAAAGAGTCGAGCCAAGAAAGCTGCTCATCCTGAGGTTATCGATGTTGAGGAAGAAGACAAGAATAAAGGTCTAATGATCGGTGAGTGTTTGTAGTTATAGTATGTTGTGTATCCTTTACAGGACGGTGAAGAACCAACCCCAGCATTTTTTGGCTGTTGTGGTTTTGTAGGCATATTTTACGTACAGCAGTTTTCCATTGCTTTCTGAATGGTCAGCTCTTACCACTGTCAAAACCAACACTGACAAATTTATTAATATTCCATGTAAAAAAAAAAACTTTTTTTTAAAATGTTCTTGGCGTGAGAGTGTTAAATAAATTAGTCTAATTGACTCCACAGTGTCACTACTTCTCACTTTTTGTACAGTATTATTCTTTTCCTCTAGGGCTGCACAGTTGCATGTATTTCAAATATTTTTTAGCACAGCTTTAAGTAAATTGCTAGTGTACTAGTGTGTACATTATACATCAAGTGCTGATCGGTTATAAAAATATTGGACCAACATCATATGCCCAGTACATTCAGGGGCTGGTAATCAGTTTTTACTTCTCTTTTTGCACATATCAGTCAGTAATAAGACCATATTTTTAATATGCTAGGACTGTCTTCAATATGAAAATGTGGCACTAAATAGCTGAGTCTCAAGTGTTTATTTTGATCACACTGTAAGTTACCCATATAAGTTATGACCTGAATAAATTAAATGTTTTGACGCTTCAGTTTGATATACAATTTATTTTGCTTCTTTCCTGACAGATATGCATAGCATGTTGGTGGATCCAGGGCCAGATTTGGTTGTGTGTGATGAAGGCCATCGTATCAAAAACAGCGGTGCTGCCATTTCACAGGCACTGAAAAATATTAAGACAAGGTAATGCCATGTGGTGGATATTACATCATATATTACTATCAAAATCATGTTATTTAGTGTTTTTCCTTGTTTTGGATAACGTTTGTCTTGTTGTGTTTCTCCTGCGTCTTTGTGGCTGTATGAGTACTTTGAAATGAATTCTGGTATGTGCTCTATGCCAGTATGTTTCCTAGGCTAATAAGGATGTGTATGTAGAAAGTACTCCATGGATAAGTAAACACAAGAGAAGACTGCTGATCATCAGAAGAGGCCCTTCCCCCTTTTTTGTGTGCCTGTTTTGGACCCCTTGTCTTCTTAACACTAAAAAGGAAACTAAGAAAACTCTTAATAGCAACTATGTAACCTACCAAGAGACCATTTGGAAGGGTTGGCGTTTTATTGGCTAGCTTGTTCCATAGAAAACCTGGACAAAAACCAATCATTGACGAAGTTGTTGGTAGAGAACCCCCCAAAAAATTGAATTATTTCCAATGTAGGAGGCTTTTACCTCAGAAGATAGGCATATTTATTTTAAAAAAAACATGATAGATAGATGAGACATAGAAAAGTAATGGTAAGAAATTACAGATTGCACATGATATTTTGGACTCAGTTTTAGATATCTGATGATCTGTGCTTCATAGAGTATTAAACGGTAGTAAAAGAATGATGTGAGGCAAATTTCTTATGAGAGATAACAGAGGAAGAGGATTGGCACATCATGAAAAGAAAAAACGGGTGTACATTGTTATCATGGGAAAGTTGGAGAGAAGGAGAAGGAAGGAGAGACCAAGAAGGACAATTCTGGGTGGTGTAGCATCTAGACTAGGAACATCTGCATTAGAAACTATTATCAGTACAGGAGACACAATGCTGTAGTCAGACATGATTACCACATGGTATAGACAGTATAAGAAGAGTGAGTACTAGAGATTGTTCTGGCAATTTAATTTCTAGTTTCTCAGTTTTTGTATATCTGTTTAGTTACGTGACCTAGTGGATCTGCAGGTGTAGCAAGAAGAGACGACATGGAAAATGAATTATAGATTAGAACTGAAACCAGTCATAGTCCATTAAAAAGCAACAGTTGAAATAATTTGACCATCTCACAAGCATGCCCTAATAACAGTCACCACAGAGAGCCACATTGAGAAATAAAATGAATAAACATGAAAATAAAACAAACAAATGATGAAATGACTGCATCAAGAATCTCCTTGGAGCAGAGGCTCCCAACATTTTTATTTTTGAGTCGCGATCCCATTTTATCCAGGCAAAGTGACCCGCGACTCCATACATTACAAATAGGCTTCTTTAATAGGTAAGTGAAAATACATTGAAAATAGATTTTAAAATCTAATGTATTTTTTTTTTAATTGCTAGCTTACACCATATTTAACGTGGTGATGAAAGTTCTATCTCATTGACAACCTTACAATTCATATATCAAAGAAAACCCTTTAAAATGTTGGTTAAATTGGCTACGAATCCTGTTACATATATCAAAGAAAAAACTCCTACTGCCCATAAGAAAAAAGACTAGGCACTTGGAGCACATATATCACTAAGAATCCATAATTATAATCGAATCAGTGCCCACATTTCACAAACAATTCTCTGTGCAAGATGCAGTGACATGAATTGTTTTGTTGGGTTTTCCTTTAAAAAATTCTCATAGCTCACCACTCTTTGGTAACACCATAAAAAAACCTTTGTGTCCCCATTTGGGATCACAACCAGTGAGTTGGGAACCTGTACCTTAGAGAAATTAAGACCAACATATACAGCACATTAAAAAGAGAAACAAAAAATGTTTAATAATTTTCCCCCAACACTTAGCTGAGGTAACTAGAGGAAGAGAAGAAGAGGAATAGTTACTTTCAGATTTTTACAAACCAGTAGACATTACCGTTTGTTACAAAATAGTTACTTTTTTTCCTTACAGGCGAAGAATTGTTCTCACAGGCTACCCTCTGCAAAATAACCTGATGGAGTACTGGTGCATGGTGGACTTTGTGAGGCCGAACTTCCTGGGCACCAAGTCGGAGTTCAGCAACATGTTTGAACGCCCTATCATGAATGGACAGTGTGTGGACAGTACAGCGTCTGATAAAAAGATTATGAGGCACAGGTCTTATGTGTTGCATAACCTTCTGGAGGGATTTGTTCAAAGGTAAACACACACACACAAACAAAACCGAAGGAAGTGCCATTTTGTGTGAAATATTTATTTTTGGATGGGTTTCTTGGAAGATGAAGATGAGAAGAAATCATCTCAAATGTGTCTGTGTTTGTTCATTATATGATCGTATGTGCCAGCTTGCTTAGTCTTTATATATAGCTCAGAGCTTTTTGTCTCTTCAAGATGTAATAGAGTGAATGTAGATAGCTGAAATATTTATCTTTTTCTGTACCTCTCTGAATCTAGCTTTCAGGATCTTACTTACTGTAAGATGTAGCATAGTTACAAACATTGCCTTTGTCGCATAAGCAACATACATGGTTTTGGTAACATAATGATATAGCTTGTCTTTGTAACAACAAAAAAACACATTGTTTCTACAATATGACATAGTTTCTGCAATATACTGACGTACATTGTTTCTGCAATATAATGACTTATTGTAGCTATAACACAGTTGCCTGCATTGTCTTTGTTATACGATGACAGATATGGTTTCTGTAACAAAATGACATACATTGTTTCTACAGTATAATGGCTTACATCGTTTCTGCAGTAAAATGACATACATTGTTTCTGCAACATAATTACATGTATTGTTTATGTAACATAATTACACACACTGTAACGTAATGACAGACATAGTTTCTGTGAAACTTACTTACATTGTCTCTGTAACATAATGTATCTTGTTTCAGGCGAGGTCATACAGTCCTACAACTCAGCCTACCCCCCAAAATGGAGCATGTGTTTATGGTTCGCTTCAGCGATATCCAGCGAAAGATCTACTGTGAGTTTATGCACGCTATCTCAGAGTCAGGGCTCTGTTCCTGGGCCAACAACAACCCCCTCAAAGCATTTGCTGTCTGCTGTAAAGTAAGTGTTCTGTACAGGGAAAGTCCGCTTTAGGGCTGTTGTATGTTTGTTTGTTTGTTTGTTTTAGTATCCAGAAGTCATGAGTTGTTAACCCTTAGGCTCGGTATTATGGATATCGCAACCTTTCGGCCTTGATTCCATTGTAAATACCGTAAATCTGGGAGAAAATGTGGCTTTCCTGCCTACCCCCGGGATTGAACCCGGACCACAAGGAGTACGTCACCCGGTCTCCGCGAAATCCGGTTTAGCCAATTCCGCTAGAGAGCCGGGCATGGGCTGTTGTATAACATTCTTCTTCTTCTTCTTCTTCTTCTTCTCTTCCACCATTTACCTCAGCGAGGTTTTGGAGGGAGATGTAAAGATCGTTTCTGCGCTTTTTCTAATGCTTTGTTCAAGTTGGTGTTCATTTCTATTAGGTTGCTCCTGATGGTGTCGCTCCATATTTTTGTGGTCTTCCCCTTGCTCTATGTTCATTTTATTTCTTCAGCATGGCTATCCATGGCAGTTGATATCAGAGCATTCCCATCAGGTGGCCAAACCATCTCATTTGTATAACATTTACTGCTTCCAATCTGCACTTGGTGACTCCAGTAATAGTTTCCCTATGGAAATAAGAAGAGCTGTAGGAGTGACCGGAAGGGATACAATCCGGAATGAGGTCATAAGAGAAAAGTCAGCACAGAACAAATTATAAACTGCATACAAAGACAGCAAATGAAATGGTTTGGCCACTTGGAGAGAATACCTTGTGATGCCACATCCTACAATTCATATAACCTAAAAGAGAAGGATATAGTACACAAGGTAGACCAAGAGCAAGATGGAAAGATAAAATCAGAGAAACTCTACATCAACATCATATGTCAGTAGTTGAGGCGGCCAGAAGAGCAAGAAGCAGAAGCTCATCTCCTCAACACATAAAGCAATCAAAGAAGAAGTGAAGAAGTATAACAACTTTAATGTCTGCTGTAAAGTTTGCTTTTCTCTACACAGATTGAATGATTGCTGTAAAGTTTATGTTTGGTTATGCCTTCTTCTACAATGGAATGTCTTCTGTAAAGTTTGTGTTTAGTTATGTCTTGTATAAACTGAATGTCCGCTGTAAAGTGTGTGTTTAGTTATGTCTTCTTCTGTAAACTGAATATCTGCTGTAAAGTTTTTTTTTCTTTTTACGTCTTCTATAAACTAAATGTCTGCTGTAAAGTTTGTGTTTAGACTGAATATGTGCTGTAAAGTTTATGTTTGTTTTTTCTTCTTCTGTAAACTGAATGTCTGCTGTAAAGTCTGCATTAAAAAAAAAAAAACAATCACTGAATAGGTCAGTATATACTGAATAGTATAGGCTATTGTAACTTTGACAAGGACAGCTCTCTGGTGGATGGCAGAGGGAAAAAGAAGACATGGATAACCAAAGGAGACCTGGGGAAGGAAAGTAGAAAGTGAAATGAAGGAATGTAATGTGCCATCGGTTAACTGAAAAATAGAAACCCGATAGCAGTGGAGATCACTTGTGAAGGCCTTTTGTGTCAATTATGACATGAAGAAATATAAATAGGCTACTATAGGTATTGTGAAACAGCCATGAACTTTCCTAGTTAACTGTAACAGGCTTATAAAAAACCATACTGGAGGTGTGAGATAGACAGTGATACATATAGGAGAACAACATCAAGCAACAGATGAACAGCACTAATAAACAACTTGATCGAGCGTGTTGTAGATTCGTTGCAGCCTACCTTCACTATAGCCTTGGCACCTGATTGATTGATAAGTCAACTACATATGTGGCCAAAAGTTTAAGTAAGTGTTTGATTGTTCCATCTTGAAGCATGGAGCTGACACCTCCACCTTTGCAAAAACCCATTTCATCACAGAACAGGTATCAAAGCCTGGATGGATTTATTGGAGGTGTGTGAATGTATGCAGCAATGAACCTAAAGGGTCCAGAATGCTGAAGAAGAAGAAAGTATTATACCCACTACTATTTAAGGGCCCTCTAAAGATCACCATTGAAGTCATCACTGTGCCCTAACAGATACCAGTGGTTAGACTAACTCACTAATCTTCAGTCCAAGGTGTCCGACATCATTGCCACCAAGACCCAGGTCAAATCTCAGGTCACAGAATGCTTCTAAGTTGAGTCCCGAGTCATCTCATTTCATTTTTGAAGTAATTTGCAAGTCATGGATGGGACAATGCTTATGGATCAGTCAGAAAATGGTGAAAATACAAAATCAGAAACGGCAGTGCAAAAATTTCACTAACTATATAGAAGCAGAAGAAGTCACGTGAAAGCTTGATAAATTGAAACAGAATTTATTCTGTCCTGTTTTATATAAAGACTTTTGAAAATGTGGCAATCACCAAACCTCATAGTGACTGACCACGAAAAACAAGTCATACAAAGACATTGAAGCTAAAAGTCGCTGGACAAAACCCCAATTTAAGTTGCAAATTTTTTAATTACACAGCTCAAGTTGGACTCGTCCAAGTTGCACAACTTGAGTCCTGACCGCTTGTTGATACAGTACTCCATAATGGTGTGAAAAAATGATTTACCAGGTGTTCTTAAACTTTGCCCACCACTGTACAGTTATGCGTTGGGTTATCTTTATGGCACTTAGAGTGTGTCCATGGATACCCAATTCTTCCTTGAACAAGATTCCCCCTTCAGCTGTGTTCTGCGGTTTATAGTGCCAGCCTTATGCTGGTTAAGAAGACTTCTTTTATGGCCAATATGTCTTACATTCTTGGTTGTGCCAATCTTCATGCCCGATATTATTGCTTTTTAACCTGTTCATTTGTGGTCTTTTGTGTGTCATTTCTTTAGATCTGGAACCATCCAGACATTCTCTATGAAGTTCTCACTCAACGGGTCGCTGACAAGGACAACGATCTAGACATAGATACTGTTGAAGGATCCACCAGTAAGAGAAAGAAAGCCATAGCAAAGTCAGCATCTTCTGCCTCGTTGGCCTCAGTTGAAACTGCAGCATCAATAACGTCCTCTGCTTCCACGGCTTCTTTGGCATCAATGGCATCGGAGTCTGCAATAGATAAAAACCCGATTACATATGATTGGGTGGGTATTAGTTATCACTGATAGAATGGATACGTTTTGTCTGCCTTCTTTTGCACTGAACCCCCTAGTATGGCATAGGCCCTCAACAAACTCTAAGTCTTTGTGTTATTTTCTGACGTGGATTCTGAGCCCCATTATGGTGGTTGGGGGTGGGGAGGGATATGCACCTCCCCTCTTTAACAAGCATGTTGTAAAAGGTAGCTAATTAAGAGTGTTTCCATCCAAGTTGGATTGTATCTACCTGCGTGGTGAGGAGCTAACAGCTGCTTGTATGCGGAATTGAAGTTCTGGAACAAGAGCAAAGTCTTGAAGTGGACGTACTTCCAGAAGTGAATAAACAATGAGAACTTTCTGCCGAAGTTTACAGCCGGGGAATGCTAATGTTATTTCATATTGTGAGCAGTTCACCTCATTCCCTGCCTCAGTCTTTAATTCTCTTCTTCATCTATTTTTTCATGTAAAAAATGGTGAGGGGAGGAAAGGGGGGGGGGGGGGGGTTCCTTTAATATCTTTAACCCTCTGAGTTCCAATGAAGTGACATTTCAGAGAGCGATAGTACCATTTGTTTGGTATTATTATTTCTTTTGACTTCCACAGATTTCTGAGTGCCATGGGAGCTATATTCTCACCTTTTGTGTTTGTATTGTTATGTCACTGTCTTTGCTTACATTTACTTCATTATCTTCATCTTTCCCCTCTTTGAGTCAAATGTTGATTTTAGTTAGGTATTGCACATCTGAACCAGTTTTTTATGCTTTATGGGGAAGATTTTTTGTGCAGGCAATGGATTGATGAATCTGCATTGTAAGTATCTTGGGCAGTGAAGGAGCAGATATGCTAGTTAGTTTTCATGAGAGAGAGAAAAGTAAATTATGATAGATGAACATTGCCTGGTCGAGGGGCTAGAACATTGGACTGTGGGAGACCTGGGTTTGAATAGGTATAGTAATAGACTTTTTTTTCTCTGTCGGCAACAGCCAAAGAAATTCTTACCTGCAAAATTCATTGTGCCTGCACTAGCCATACAGCCTTAAAACATCAGGCTCAAGACCATTTAGTCTGTAAGTGCTTAAGTCCCCTCATCAGTCATTTCTGCAACATTTATTAGTTGATGACTCCAGTTTTGTGCTAGTTTCTTATTCTTTGGCTTCCCTCATAGTGTTCTTGTCTGGCCACGTGCCTTTTAACTTGCTATTCTTGCAGTCTGGTCATGATTGCAGATTCAGTCATCACTTGGTTCTCACAAACGCCTTACTTCTCATAGACTGTTCAGTATATCAGCCTGGTCCATAACTTGTTCGCTCTTGTAGCTTTACCTGCAAGCCTATCAGCTTGCTAAGTTCCTTGCATGTCTGCGTGCCCTGGCACGAAAACTGATATTTGTCAGTCCCGACTTCGTCCGAGACTCCAACTTCTGTCTTCAGACCCAGCCCATCTCTATCTTCCTAAGCATATATACTCATTGAGTGACTGAGAAAGCATGCACGATTAAAGGTCTGTCTCCAGCCATATTATTGCTTTGGTCACCGCCATGACCTCCATAGTTAGACTTCTACAGACAACAAACCGCTAAGTAGTCACTACCTGACATACCAGTCTCTCATCAACAGAAAGCCACCAAAACTGGCACAAGACAATTACCATATTATGGATAGACCAGAGCAAATAATTATTCTTTGCTTAAGAACATGGCACAGTCAACTTCACAGCCACATGTACACAAAGTTTATGATTGGCGAAACCCCCATGTACACATGTGGACTGGCACCTGAGACAACAGATCACATCCTCCAAGACTGTCCTATTTACAACATTTCCAGACAAAACTTCTGGCCAAGAGAGACACTGGTGGAAGCCAGACTTTACAGGCCACTGCATGAATGACAAAAGATAGTATAGTTCATACTAGAGACAGCATTGCAAATATCGATAATTTATTGCAAACGGATGAAAGAAGAATGTCACCTTTAATGGCATGCTTGTTAGGGGCGGCAGTGTGACATCCTGAAATGTATATGCAACTGACTTTATATTATAATATAATGGAACAAACGTGATTAACCCTTTGATGCAGGCGGAACCACTAATGAAAGATTACATCGCTGGGTTGTTGGAGAACAGCGGCAAGTTTGTCCTGATGAATGCTATTGTAGAGGAGTGCCTGGCTGTTGGTGATAAAGTGTTGATTTTCAGGTACAGTTGCTTAAGTTGTGTCCCTTTAAATTATCTTGTCATATAACATGTTTATTGTTTATTTGACTTTACAAATATTATTTATTTTTTTGAAAAGTAAATATACAAGTTCTGAAAGTAACTACCACAGCTATCTGCAGGTTTGAAATGTAACTATATACTGTCTGCAGGTTCAACATATAACCATATGCATACTGTTAATAAAATAAATAAGTGAAATAGCTTATTAAACATCCATGGTTATTAGTGGCACAAAGATTATACGTAAAGCATATAAAGATAGAATGTTGTACAATGTCCATAGGTGTTGGTTACATTTATAAACTGCCAGGTAATTAAAGATGCATGGAAAGCACACATGATTGCAGTAGTTGACAGCAGAAGCTTTGTAACTGTATAATTGTTTACATACTAACATTTGTGGTCTCTTCTGACATGTCCCAATGAGTTATGCCATGTTTCAGAACAGAATAACTTGCTCTGGTTTTTAGAGCCTAGCTTTCTCAGACAAGGTGTGAGGTCTGCTGGGCATGTTGCATTTTACTGTTTGGCCATGACTTTTGTGTCTTTGATGTTCTGGATCAGTTCTGAGAAATGTAGGTTAATTTAGGTTAATTTTGTTCTTGTTTCCCTAGCCAAAGTCTGTTGACCCTTAACAAGATTGAAGAGTTCATGGGAAAACGGAAAGTTCCAAGAATGGAAATAAATGAGAATTGGCAGCGCAACAGAACGTATTTCCGTAAGTAGCTGGAATAAAATGTTGTATAAAATATATATGTGTGTGAGAATGGGTTTGAGGGTGAGGGTAGGCATGCATGCATGCAAGTGCGTACTAGTATTAGTCTTGAAGTAGAATTTTATGTGTTTGGGGGGGGGGGGGGGTTTTACAATTATGTACAGATGTTTATTAGCTGGTGTCTGTGCAGGTTAGAAGGACTCAAATGCTATGACAGAATAGTTGATGCAGAGCTAATGGGCATAAATCAGTTTAAGCACATGCCAATAATTTACACAGAACATGAAAGTAGCTGCAAAAGTTAAAAACACAGAACAGCTCGGCATGGCTTCATTGATGGTCTGGCTCCAGTGATGGGTAAAGAACAGAAGACATTCCTTCTATTTCTTCCCCGACTTTTGTTTGTCGAACTCTTTTTGTCTCTCCGGATGATACTGTTAAATTGTGCCATAGGGAGGCATGAGAATCACAGCCCATGGGCAGTTAAGATGATGAATGAAGTTCTTGCTCTCCACAGCACAAAGCCTGGGCAGTATTGTAGAGATCATGTATTGCCTATGCGGCACAATCCATCTCTTGGCCTGCCTTGTTGACACCAAAGGAAAATTAGCACCAGAACATTTGGAATAAAATATGTCACAGAAGTTGTTGGATGAGTTCCCCATGTGGGTTTCTAGGACCCATTTTGGTGCCTCTCCACCAACAAATATTGTCAAAATCAACTTACTAGGGATTTGCTGAAATTGAATGTGTTGGACCAAAAAGTGCAGATATCACAGCCTAGCTGTAAACCCCAACATTGCATACCAGAAAAAGAAGAAATTGTTGCTAATTCTTTTATTAATTTAAAATTTAGTACATTGGGATATATAGTGTTGCTTTCATAGTTGCTTGTCAGTGAGGTTCAGTTCATGTAAACCACATTTGTATCTCATTGTAGGCCTGGATGGAAGTACATCAGCACAAGATAGAGAGAAACTAATTAACCAGTTTAATGACCCAGAGAGCAATGTTTGGGTTTTTCTACTTTCTACAAAGTAAGGTTCAGTGTATGTGTTGTTTTTTTTCTTGTTTGTGCGGAGCTTTTTTCTCTCTTGTTTAAATTTTTACTCTTAATTTCTCTTTCGTATTATTTCTCTGTTGAATTTTTTTGGGTTCTCATTTCTCTTTTAATGTTCTTTTATCTCCTCTCTCTCTTATTTCATTTTTGTGTGTGTGTTGCATTTCTCTTCGTGCTAATTCTCTTTTGTCTCATTTTTCATTTGTTTCAGTTTGTCTTTATTCTCTTTAATCCTGTTTGTTTTTTGTCTCATTAATCTTCTTTATCTAATTTCTCTTTGCCTAATGTCTCATTTCTCTTTGTCTAATGTCTCATTTCTCTTTGTCCAAAGTCTCTTTTCTAACATTTCTATTTTGTCCAAGAAAGCATAGAATGGAGACTCTTACAACAATGGTTAGACACTTGCCTGCTAACCCAAAGGTCTTGGTTTCAAATCTGCCTTGAGGTGATTTTAATTTTTGTTTTAATTATTAACCTGGGTTTCTAGGTTGACTTGTCCTATAAGGAAGCCAGGAAATATCCAGGGAAGTAAAGGTGATTGACACGATTTTGCTCACATTGATCATGGAAATGCAGAATACATCAGTTAAACAAGAGTACTTACTGTTGAATGAGTTGCTGAGATAATATATAGTATTTAATTTCTTTCACAGGGCTGGGTGCCTGGGTATCAACTTAGTTGCGGCCAATCGTGTCATCGTCATTGACGCCTCCTGGAACCCCTGCCACGACTGCCAAGCTATCTGTCGAGTGTATCGCTTTGGCCAGGTGAAGAGCTCGTATGTTTACCGGCTTATCACAGATAACACCTTGGAGAAAAGGATTTATGATAGGCAGATTAACAAGCAGGGGATGTCAGGTAGGTCTGCTCATATTGTGTGCTTGTTTGATCTTGGTAGATAACGCACGTGTGGTTCAGGGCACATTTTGTGTGTGTGAGGGGTGAGGGAGGAGGGGGGGGGGATAACCCACTTCTCCCCAGTAAGCAAGTCGTAAAAGGCGACTAATTAGGAGTGTTTCCTAGGGGCCTGTGCAAAAGAAGAATGTCTTAAATCAACCAGTCTGTGTGTTCTGTGCTTCTTAAACCTGGCCACTGTACGTGCTATGCTGCTTTTCCAAGCCAGTCTTTGTACTGTGCTGCTTATCCCGGCCAGTCTGTGCTGTGCTGCTTATCTCAACCAGTCTGTGTACTGTGCTGCTTATCCCGGCCAGTCTGTGCTGTGCTGCTTATCCCGGCCAGTATGTGTGCTGTGCTGCTTATCTCAGCCAGTCTGTGTACTGCGCTGCTTATCCTGGCCAGTCTGTATGTGCTGTGTTACTTATCCCAGCCAATATGTGTGCTGTGCTGCTTATCCCATCTAGTCTATACGTGCTGGGCTGCTTATCCCACCCAGTCTGTGCTGTGCTGCTTATCCGAGCCAGTCTGTGTGTGCTGTGCTGTTTATCCCAGCCAGTTTGTGTGCTCTACTACTTATCCCAGCCAGTACTGGTGTTGTGTTGAGTCATGCTGTGGACACATTGTTACATACCTCTAGGCTGATGTGAAGTTTCAGTGCCAGTCTTTCACATTCCGCTGTTTTACAAACTGGGAGAGAGGAGGGGAAGAAAAGAGGGGCTTGACATGTGTGATTGAGGGTCTGTAGTTCACCTGGGAAGAAGGAGAGTAGCAATTGTATTGTTCCTATTCTATTGGTGCTTCCTTGATTTACACCTGCAGACAATTTCTTTTGATAATTTACTTTTTATTGGAGTCCCTGTTTGGTCCCATACAGCTTTGTGTATGTGATATTGATGCATCTAGGAAAAATATTCCCTTCTTAATGGGCTGTACAAGGGACAGTCTTGCAGGACTTGTTCTGTGGTTGGTACTTAGAGCCCACATGGACACAGTAGTGAACAAGTCAGATGAAGCCTGTGTATATGCTTGTTAAATTCACATTGTAATAAATGGACTTTGGTTTGGGAAAGGTAATGTGCATTATGAAACAGTTACTTCAATGAGCTGAGATAAATTGAGCAAAGTTAATGTGCCGACATCATAGCAGTTAGAATGTTCCAATAGGCCCTTCGTCCCCATCTTCAGCAGCAAGCGCAGAGATAAAATTCCTATTGTACCAGTAGCCGTCTGATTGTGTGTCCATCTTACCTTACCTCTGATCACTGCCTGCTGCACCATTCTCTTCAGACAGTGACGATCTGTTTAGCTTCTGCATTGTTCACTCGCTCATAAAGGTTCTTGATAACATCTAGCTTGTCATGTATCAGTTTACCTCCAAGTACCACAGAACTGGCCAGTTTACTGCTTTTTCATTTCTCAGCACACCTGTATTCCCTGGGGAAAATATTCAAAAGACGCTAACTACCTAGGACCTCTGAAGCAATGCTTGTTACTCTGCATGGGGCATACCTGTCTCTTATTTTCTCAGCATGCAAATAACATCACTTAGACAAAAAAATTTAATAATCTCAAACTTATATGATCAAATGGGGAGAAGTGTATGCATATTCAATTTGTAATGTTTATTTTCAGATCGGATTGTAGATGACATGAACCCTGAGAATAAATTAACTCGCAGACAGGTGGAGAACCTGCTGGATTTTGAGGTAAATATACGAACTCTGGGGGAGCTGCATTAGTGTGGGGTGGGGGGGGGGGGGGGGGCTGTTAGGGTTAGTTTTCTCTTCTTCTTCTACTTTCGTTCATCCCACATAGATTATCTATATCTGCAATGTTGTCTCTAGTATGGTGAACTTCACCATATTCTGTAATTCACTTAGCGACCTGTAAAGTTCGGTTTGAGCCTTTAAGAATTCTCTTTTGTTGTCTTTCTCTTTATCTCTTTCCATTAATCTTTCCAGTTGTCACAAGGTGTTCCGATTTTTCTTTCCTCATAATGTACCCCAAAAAAAGTTATTAAAATCTCTTCCTGGTGTTTTTCTTATCTTCATTTCTTGATGTCTTTCAAAACACTTTAATTACTTACATTTGGTTATCCAATTAAATGTTCTCTGTGTTTTCTAGGAACCTTAATTCCTTTTGCTCTGTGGGTTCCAGAGAAAGCAAATTTCTAGTTAAACTATGAAGAGTTTTTCTCAAAAGTATGAATATCATTAAACTATATATATATATATATATATTTTTTTTTAACCAGAAGAACTTGAGCACAGCACATTTTTGGCTCAGTGTCGTGAGCATCGAATTGTAACTTTTATGTAACTGGGATACCCTGTGATTTATTCTCTCAGGACCAGGATTTCCCTCTGGTGGACTTCTCTAACATTGCTACCAAAAGTGGGCAAGACCAAGTGATGTTGAACGTTCTGGAGAAGCATGGATGTTGGCTGACAAAGGTATTGTTGTCCTCACCATGTAGCAGCACCTTTTGCAGACCATCGCTTTTAATCTTAGCGTACCAGAAAGCCACCCAGTCCTTTGCTAACTTTTCTGCCTCGTGAACTTTCTTATCCAGGGTGTCCTTGACATCCTGTGACCACCATAGTGCCGGTTGACGGCTGCATTTCTTGCAGGAACCATAATCTCCCTTACTGATCACTCCAAACCATTATAACATTCAGTATGTTTGAAGTTTCAGTTTCTAAGAAATGATACTGTCCATGAGCTTATCTATGCTCATGTCCTTGTTAACAAGTAAGGCATTCAGAAGTTATCTCTATTGCTGTCCATCTGCTGCATTTGTATCCCATGTAATTTTACATACATATCCTTGAGCTGGTCCCACTCTGTTTTTAGACCCTGAAGGATGTCATTTGTTTCTTTCACTTTTTGATTTATGATGCACTAAGAATCTTCTGTAATATTAAAAGTTCAGAAGCCATTTTTTGGGGATGTTATTTAAAACAAATTTTGTGTGTGTTAGTGTTTACAAAATAGTTCACAACTCACATCCAGATGTTGTTACACTTAAGTGGCTGCATTACTTGTTGCAAGATGTGATGCGAGCTAGCCAGTGAACTGCCACAACACCAATTTATAGTTGTAATTATTCTTATTAGGGGTGATTATTTGTATTAAATTAAGTAAACCAACCTGAAGAAGTCAGATGTGATGGCCAGAAGACACAAATGTCGCACCGGTGCTGAAACTGGCACTTTTTTTGCATGCAAAAGAAATAATAAAATTGGGGACAAGTCACACATTGTTTAATTTATTATGTATATAAATTGACCTGAATATCTAGGAAGATTGGCTAATAAACAGCATCATGTTTCAGAAGCTGAAATATTTTGGTCATATCAAGTGCCATTGCGGATTGGGAAAAAATATAATAGCAGAAGACATGGTACCAGGAAGGAGGGGCAGGGACCAACCAACACGAAGATGAGCACAGGATATAAGTGACACCTTGAATATGAAAGTATATAAGGCGGAAGTGCTTGCGAGAGACCAAATTTCATTCAGGCTGACCGTCATGAAAGTGATTTTCTGCAAAGGACCTGCTATATGATGGTGATGATATGTGCATTGATTGTGGTGATAAGTGCTTTAGCAAATAAAATGGTTTTTTCTTCTTCAGCACCCATTCACCCATGAGTCCCTGCTGATCGATCGTAAAGAAATGAGGCTGTCTAAACGAGAGAAACGATTGGCTAAGGAAGGTTATGCTCGTGACAAACGAATGAATGTTACCTACGCTCGTCCTACCTATGCCGCCTACTACCCTCAGGGTGGTATACTTCCAAATAGGCTTCCTTTCAATAGTCGATACAAGTAAGTTGTCTGTGACTATTATTTCCTGTTTACAGTGGTTGATTTTTGTTGTATATATTATTTTCTCTGCCACATAAAGCTATATTTAATCCTTTAGTTATATTTCTTGTTCTGTAATTCATAGCCCCCCCCCCCCCCCCCCCCCCCCCCCCCCCCCCCCCCCCCCCCCCCCTTTTTCTCCCCATTTTTCATGGTATAGATTGTGACAAAATTGTTGAATATTTATAATGGTGGATATATATACCTGTTGATCTTTTAGAATCTCTCTTCATACCTTTAACAAAAACACATAATGCAGTAGATTGTGGAGAACATCGGAAAATTAGTTTAATGAGTCATATAATAAAAATATGAATGAAAAGAATAACGTGCAAAATTAACTCAGAAATTGGAGAGAAGCAGTGTGGTTTTATTGAAGGTAAAGGCACAGACAACGCCAAATTTATCTTGAGAAAACTTACAGAAAATATTATTGAAATTATCACATGTTTGTATTTGTGCTTTGTTCGACAATACTAAAGCAGGGCTATTCAACTAAGTTTACTCAGAGGCCATAATGTTGAAAATGGGGATCTTTACGGGCCAGAAGCCCAAGCCCCAGCATTGAAAGATCATTAATACAATACCATGTTAGCCCACGGGCCGCCAGTTTAATAACTTTGCACTAAAGCAGTTAATAAAAAAAACATGAAAAAATTATTAGAATTTGGGAAACCTAAAATATTGATTTCTAAAGATCTATAATAAAAATAAAAAAATTATAATAAAAACTTACACTAGCTACAAGAAAGAAGCAGCCTTAAGAATTGACAATCATTGGGAACTTTTCAATCAAGTGGGAACTTTTCAAAACATCAAACAAGGCCTTAGACAGGGATGTGTACAGTGACCCGATTGATTCAGTTTGTATAGAGAAATAATAATGAGATCCATTCATGGTATGCCAGGAATATCTATTGGTGGGCAGATTGTTAACAGTATGTGATGTGCTGATGATGATGATGATATAGTTTTGATCACTTAAAATCAAAAACAACTGCAAGAAATGATGAACGTAATAATAACAGACAGTCAGAATAAGTCTTAGTTTCAACCACAGAATTAATGGCAATTACACAGATATTGGACCCTCCAGAATGCAACATCAAAGTAATTAAGACAATCCTCAAGGCAGTTGATATTTTTAAGTACTTGGTACCCTATAACAGCAGATAGAATATGCATTTATTTTTTTCTATTTAGGTCATTATTATTATGTGCAAAGATGATTTTTATTATTATTATTTTTTTTTTAAATATGAAGGCAAGTAACCACTAAATGCAAATCACAAAGCAAAGAATTAACAGCTTTCCTACCCTTCGACCAAGAAAACGTGTTTGATTAATTACTTATGAAGATTTAATTTGAGATCTGACACTGTATCATTATTTTCTTTCAGTTATGCTGCATTCCGACGTGGTCCAGTTGTAAGACCAATCGCTAGTGTCCGCCCAATGATTATAGCTAATGCCCAAACTGGCAGTGAGAAAATCAAGCAGTTTGGTGGCCAACCTTTGAGACCTGGGGTGACAATTCATCAAGTTATTACGACAACAGGTACACTTTGTCTTCTCTCTATAAACCAGTGTTTTACCAGAGATTTTGCTTGATTGTGTACATGATTGATTCACTGATTGATCAACCAGAATATGCTCCATATCACTTACACTACTGACTTTCCTACTATTGCATGTAATGCTCTACTTTATAAACAGTATAACTTCTAAGGGAGCTGAGTGATCTCAAGACATGGTGTCGGCCCCAGCGCTGGAGGTCCTGGGTTCAAGCCCCGGTGAAGGCTTGGATTTTTAGTAACTTCCCCCTGGTCACTGGGTAGTAAGATCGGACGTCTGTGTGTATTGTTGCGCATATAAAAAACCACTTGGTAGTTGGAAATCAAAAAGAGTAGTCTAACTGCGCTGCCCAGGCAAAATTTGGACTTTTAAATCTATGCAAATATGGTGCTACAGAGTTTCTGCACTGTGCTGAGATTCTTCGGACTCGGGCTTGAGTCGGACATAGAACGGAGCACTTATGGGTTACTACCCTTGTGCCATGATGTTGATCTGTTGTATAAACCAGATAAACTTCTAGTAAACCAAAATATTTATGCCATAGTTTGTGGAGAAAAGTAATAAAAAGTGTGGTGCTTAGATTGGGATGAAAAGCACAAGGGCTATCTTTATATTGCAGGTTCTAAGTCTTATGCACTTTCCTACTCAGGGTGTCATATCATGTGCCTATCTTCATGCTGGTCGGCCGCAACCCTTCTTTCCTAGTACCATGCCATCTGCTATTATTCTTTCCGTGGTACTAGATATGGAAGCATGGTGTTGGGCACAAGATATCGTTATATTTCTCATGTCCATTCTGTCTTGAGCAAACCTTTCAGTATTCAGTGTTTGGAATCCTGTCCGACACCTCTGGGCTTTCTCATCTGCCACACACTGCAGATTCAGGGCTGCATGGCTAGTGCTGTCACCACTGACTATGCAGGTGAGGATTTTTGTTTTTGCGTCTGACATAAAAAATGTCTATGACCTTACTGAGGATTTGAACCTGGGTCTTCTGCTAGGTGCCCCAGTTTTCTTAACCATTCGGCCAGCTGTTCTCTCATCAATGTGTGTATGTGCGTGTGTGCTTGCACGCGCTTCTGTGTGTGTATTTATATTAATGAGAGAACAGCTGGCCGAATGGTTAAGAAAACTGGGCTCTTATGCGGGAGACCCAGGTTCAAATCCTCAGTAAGGTCATATTGTTATGTCATCATTATATCATATATATATATATATGTACACATTTTTTTCGCTTCAGAAATTCTTCTACCTGGCACCAACACTGGAACCCAAGCCGGCACTCCAGCAAACAAAATTGCTGCTGGACAAAAGATACTTGTCATCAAGACACCCAAAGGAGTGTACATACGCACAAATGATGGTAAAATGTTTGCCGTGAGGTCCAAAACTGGGAGCGCTCTAGGAGAGACTGGGAGTACGCCGATCACTGCTAGCACCACGACAACCACCACCATAACCTCTGCAGGAGGTAAACAAGGTAAGTGGTCTAATTAAGTGACCAGGTGTGGTTATCTTGCGTATGATTTTGGTCTTGTTGCTGTTCTCTATGTGACATTGCGGGAGAATTAGATGCACTGGCCCGTAACAAGCCTGTTGTAAAAGGTGACTAATTAGGTGTCTCCTGAAATCAAATGTATTGGGCTGAAATGTATAGATATCACAACCTGGCTGTGATTCATTTAGGTACACTACATTAGAACCAACCCCAGCACTTTCTGGCTGTTGTGGGTTTTCTAGGCAAATTTACATCCAGTAGTTTGCCATTGCTTTCTGGACGGTCGGCTCTCGGTACCACTGTTGAAACCAGCGCAGCAGCAGGGATCAACCCCGGCACTACGAAGCGCGTTCGCAGCACCTCAGCCACAGACGCTGACAAGAAATTACATACCTAATTGTTTTAAATATGTTTTCCATTTCCAAGGCGACAATTTGCGGCTGTTTTAGCGTTTGGCGGCTGTGCTGTTTCTTTTGCTCTCTTATCATGGACTGCAATTTTGTGCATGTCTCCAGCATGGGATACATTGTGTTTTTGGTGGAAGTAACGTGTATTGTGGTTTGGGGATGGTGACTGATAAAGCTCCCGACCTGAACTGGCGCACCGTGCTTGCTGCAGTATTTGGATTGCGATGGTTTATGGTCCAGGAAGACTGGTCTCATCAGCTGAGAACTGCAACATTGGTACTCTTTTGCTTACCTTTTATAAGAGAGACCTGTTTTGCATACAATAATTTTCATCTTTTTAAATGCCACTGTCACCTGGCACATCATCCTGCTGCTAATTTATATCGCCATATCTTTCATCAGATGTTATGACAATTCCCCCAAAAGATTGAACTTGTTGGCCTCGCTTAAGCACTTTGCCTTCTGTTGTTATATCACAATTTGGTGTTTGTTTCTTCTTTGTTATAACCATTGTTTCTGTCTTCTTGATGTTTAAGGAGAGCCCTTTTCTAGCACTTTCATTACTCTAATGTCTAGAGGTTGCTGATAATTTTGTTTTCCAGCTACCTATACTGTATCATCCGCATAATGTAGGTTGTTTATGTCATAACCACCAACTTGTATTCCTAGTTATCTTTTATCTCTCTCATTATGAATTTTTACGAGGGGCAGTCAAAAAGTAATGCCTTCTATTTTTTAAAATCTATGTAAATACTGTATCATTGTGCTATTTGTAAATTTAGCAAGATTCCTCAGACACTGTTTTACAACCTTTAGCATTGCCAACCTGTTTCGCTAACAGGTGGCACCACTGTAACAGTTTTAAAATTGCTACCGTGGGCGTTCAGTTAAAACAATGTAATGTCGTAGAATTAATTAGTGCTGAAGGTAAGGCCCCAGTTCACATCCATGACCATTTGAAGAATGTTTATGGAAACTCAGCAGTAGATGTTAGCACTTTCTTATGCTATCTACATCAGTTTTTACTGATGGACAATAGGCACAGGGACACCGTATTTACATAATTTAGGAGGCATTACTTGTTGATCGCCCTCATATTTTGCCACAGAAATAATAATTCTGGTGATAAGAGACATCCTTGTCTAACTTCTGGTGTTTTTATTGTTCAGAACTGCAGATCATAATTGCATTGCACTGTATTGTGTCCATGACTAGATATGTCTTGCCTCGCTTACAGCCAAAGAAGTGGCTGGCCGAATGGTTAGGCATTGGGGTTTCATGCAGGAAACCCTCTCCTCTTTAAGGGATGGACATTAGGTGGGGGAGGGGGGTGTACAAATCCTAGCCTGCATAGTTCATGGCAGCTGCACTAGCCATGTGACCCTAAATCCTCAGGCTCGCACCTCACCTGTCATATCCTGCCCTAAAAGTGGTCAGTGCATGCAGTAAATGTAGCTTACATTCCATTCTTGATAAATTTTTAATTCTTGCCCATTTGATTTTGTGGATAATGAGGTTAGTAAAATAATGGAAACATTTTACCCCCATTTCAGTCTTCATTACTCCAAATATCTCCATGACAACTACGGCTGGTGGGAAAAAGCCACCAATCATCATTGTCAGCAACAAGAAGGGCATGCCAATAACCATGGCTAGGGGTGGAAGCATTATAAGAACATTGCCATATGGAAGTGCCAATTTGTTGAGCTCCTTGAAGTCTTCTTTGTTAAAATCTGGTAAGTGTTTGCAGTGCTAATTTGGTGATTATTAGGCTTTCTGTGATTGTAGCACCAACTTTATTGAAATCAGGTCAAGTTTCCCATAGTTGTAGTGTTAACTTTCTTGAAACAAGTTTGCATAGTTGTAGTGTTAACTTTCTTGAAACAAGTTTGCATAGTTGTAGTGTTCACTTTCTTGAAAACTAAGTCTGGCATAGTTGTAGTGTTAACGTTGTTGAAAGCTGGTAAGTTTCCCATAGTTGCATCGTTAATTTGGTTAAAAACTGATGTTTCCCATAGTTCAGTGCTTACTTTGTTAAAACTGGTGTGTTTTCCATAGTTTTCATGTTTGACAGTCTTTCATAATAATATTTCCTATTATGTTGAAAACCTAAATTTTCTATGCAGAAAGATATGTAGGAATCACTTTTGCTGATATAGGCTGATTCCAAGCGACCTGTTTCCTTTTTTGTATGAAGAGATCTTGTTAATAAACTAAATTTTGCTCTATACTGTGCAAGAAATGTTAGGAAGACAAATAAATACTGTGCAACGCCTTGAACAGCAGGGCATAACCTAATAATGTGAGCGGTGTCAGAGATTTGGAGCATCATGGTGGCTGCTGCAGACTAGGCACCTGAAGAGAGAAAAAAATATAATAAGCGATTTTAAGTCTTGCCTTGTTCTCTGAAAGTGGTGAGTTTGTTTTATGGGCTGCGCCATTTGGTTTCAGGGTGAAATTGTTTCAGAGATTCCTGTGGATCATTGTTCGAGCTGCAGTTTGTGTTTTGTGTGACATTTTCTGCAGGGGTACGAGTCATTCTGTCGCTTATTACTGATTTAAGAATCAACATCATAGCACACGGACATATCCATAGATGCTCAGTCTCCCACAGCAAATGTCTTAGGGTGTAGAGGCTAACTGTTCCCATAGCCCACTGTACTCATTCTGTTTCTCTCATACACCCCTCCTTGCTGGATACACTTCTGATTTCACATTTACACATTTTTACACATGTTATTTCATCAAACCTTAAGTCTTCTATCAGTTTTTGTTCATAAATGATCTTGAGAATGTCCTGTTTGTCCAGTACAGGTGTTTCTATAGCTATCAGTTTTGTAGTGAAGTATCTGCTCTTTCATTTCCTTGCACTCACTGCCTGAACTGTACAGTGTATCCACATGAGTCACTGTAATGTTAATGTGCTCATGCTTGGTATCCATTCATGCTACATTTGTCCACCGTCTGCAGTACTAACTGAGAATCAGACCCTATAATTCCTATGGTAACTCTGTTTTCTCCTGTCCACTTTACAGTTGAAACCAGGTGCAGTGAGGTTGATTCTTTCAATTTTAAACCTAAAAAATTTCAGCAACAATTTTTTTCATTGTTAGATGCTAATTTTTTTTTTCCCTCCACAGAAACAGCCAAAACTACAGATTCAACTACCACAACTTCTTCTACCTCAACTACAACTTCTGCAGATGTTGCATGCTCTTCCTTTGGTGAAAAGGGCACCTCTCTTGCAGACTTAATTGCCGGCACCGATGAGGATGACAGCAGTGGCGAGAAGAAGATGAGTGACGGAACCACCCAGTCGGAGTTGAAGCCTAAAATGCCAGTTATCGTGTTACCATCGCTTGCAGTACGCACGCCTCGGCCTTTGTCAAGTATTCAGTCATCAACAGTGGCCACCACATCGCCAGGTGGGGGCACAATTGTCATCATGCCAACCAAACCGGTGGTCTCCATGGGAACAAAGCGAGCTCCCAAGAACCCGAAGCCGAGAAAGTCCAGAGCCAAAGCTAATAATTCAGGAAATACAGAAGATGTGGCACCAAAAGCCACCGGGGGCAAGAAGAAAGGGGTCAGCTTGTTAACGCGAATGAATATGGTTACAACTACAGCCAGCATGTCTGCTAGTACTGTTGGAACTACCACGCCTGCTGCGGCTACTGCGTCAGTGACCACCTCCACCTCCACAGGGACATCTTTTGAAAGTGGTATGTTGTATTTTATGTTTTGTAACTTATTTGTCATTTAGTGGGGGTTTTGCAGTGGACATTTGTTTGAACTAATTTGTCATTTATAAGTGTTCACATCAAGATTTGAATCAGTTGATATTCAGTAGGGGGTCAAACTTGGCATACATTGAAACTAGTTTGTCATTCTGTAGACAGATTGTTAAACCAGTTTTTCAATTAATAATGATCGCACCTTATGACTTTTTGAACCAACTCGTTATTTTTCTTATTCTCCTGCTTTCACCCTTGAAAGGGCGGTTAACATGGTACATTTGGATTACAGCAAGGCTGCTATATCTGTGTCTTTCAGCCCAAAACATCAGATTTTTTTTCAGATTTAATTAAAAAAAAATTGTAACCTAATTAGCCACTTCACTTGTTGGGGGGGGGGGGGGGGGGGGGGGGGGGGGGGGGGGGGGGGGGGGGGGGCTTTTTTTTTCTCTCTCTCTCTCTTTACTCAGAAGCCACACAGGAAATTTGTCACAGTCAGGCAAACTTTCATTGGGCATCATTGGCCCTTGATTTAAGGTTGGACTGAAGAGGGCCAGGTGTTTCTAGGGATTTTATATCTCTAAAATTCTCAGGGAGTTTTTCTTAGACCTATATAAAGGTCACATGTCCAGGCTGTCAAATGAGGAAGCAAGAAGTCTTGCATGGGACTGTCTTTGTTTGTCAGTCTGTCTGTCGTTTCCCTCTCCCTTCCCTCACCCTCCTTATTATTCCTCCTCCCCTCACTGAGAATTATCATTTATCAAATAGGCTGTGCTGTGTAACAATCACTTAAACTGAATGTTAGGAAAGGAGAACTGAAATGTTATGTAGTTCATATCATTTTTGTCTTCAAGCGTGAGAATGTCTTATCAACTTATTAAATATTTTGTGTTACTTTATTTCTCAGACAACCAGACGGCATCCCAGTCTCAAACACAGACTTCAGCCACAGCTCAGTCATCTTCGGGCACACAAGCTGGTGGAACCACTACTCAGAGTAAACCTAAACAGAAGCATCATCCGCCATCCTCACAGTTTCCAGATCTGACCAGTATGTGGCACAGCAACTTTGGCTCTGGGCCTCCACAGGGAGCTCAAGCACAAGCTCCTGTTGATTCATCAGCTGCTGCATCATCTGCTGTGGGTGCTGCAGATGTCGCGGCTAATAGTAATAGTAGCAGTAACAGCTTTGGTGGAGAAGGAGGGATGATGACACCCGGCCACAGCCGGGACTCGATGCCTGCTAGCCAGGAAACTAATCCTGAAAGCGGTACTGCTACCAGCAGTCAGAACATGCTGGAGAGGGAGATGCAACCTCAGAGCCACAATGATGGATTCCACAACCAATACAGTTCCGTCAACCAAGCTTACAATAGTATGAATAATCCCTATATGCCTGCTGCTGTAGATCCGTATGCCATGGGGCCGATGGATGGTCATATGCCACCTTACATGCTGGGCATGCACCAAGGCTTTATGCCACCTCCTCCCGGACCTTTTAGTCAGAGTTTACCACCTCCCCCTAGTCAAATGCAAAGCCAAGCACATGGTGGCAGGAACATGATGTATGGTTCTTCTCAAAGTTCTGGCTCATCACAGTTCGGATCTACTTTTGGCCCTAGCAGTCAGCAGATGCCACCTCCATATGGAAGCACAGCAAATGGAGGCTCCATGTACCCAGGCCCAAGCAATCCCTCGCCCTTTGGTTATGGTTATGGAGCTCCTACCACTGCCTCTTCCTTTATGTCCCAACCCCAAGGGAATGAGACGTACCACCAGCCTCAATCTAACATGCCCTTCTACAGCCCACAAAACACAAGCCCTTCGTTTGCAATGGAAATGCCCAGTAATCATGAATTTGCACCTCAGAATCCACACCAGCAACACTCTGTGGCGCCGTCATCGTCATCTACAACATCCACCAGCCATAAGGAGCCAGGATTAATGAGTCTAGATAAAAACATTCCTTCCCCCTCTCCTAGCCCAAGACATGCTGCTGACACGCCTGAAAGCAACAAAAGTTACATGGACTTGTCCAACAGCCGACCGAATAATACTCAAAATAACATAGGTAACATTTCCCAAGGATTTGGATCTAGCACCCAGAGCATGTCCGGCTCTGGCAGTAATTTTAGTTACCAGAATTTTCCTTCGGATAACTCCAGCAGTAACAGTAGCGGATATGGCATGAGCACAAGCAGTACTTTATCATCTGCGTTGTCAAGCCATGCATCCGAAAATGATATGGAAATGGGAGGAAGTGCATTTAGGGCTCATCAAGGTTCCTCAGTCATGAACATGCCAGCCAAGCCCCAGCCATTCAGGCTGGACAAAAGTGGAATTGGTGGTGGCGGAAACTCCCCAGGATTCAACTATAACAGTGGGATGAGTGCATTCACCAGTCCCGGTATCATTGGAGGCAACGCTGGTGGATTTGTGAACAGTCCTCCCTTTGGAAGCTACGGATCTGGATATGGTGGAGGTGCCCTTCCATTCTCCTCAGCCCCAATGATGTCTCCTCCACAGAACATGATGGGCTACCCACAGGCGTCTTTGGGTTATCCTAGCATGTCGTCACTGATGATGGGCTCTGTCCCTCCGGCTCCTCCAACAATGGGAGGCAGCATGTGGCCCATGATGCCACCGGCAATGATGGGAGGGGGCTACAGTTACCCTCCTCACCCGTCAAGTATGGGCTTCCCTTCTGGGCTTGATGGTCAGGGCTTCAACCATTTAGGACCAGGCCCTGGAGCCAACTAAAGAAATTAATTTCCAAGGCAAATATGCAAAGTATGCCATTCTGATACCTTATCCAAAAGTCAGATTAAGGAAGTGACCATTCCATTCTAGTAAATGATAAACCAGTGAGACCTTTAACACAGATTCTTTTCTTCAGACATCACCTGAAGCATTTATCAGTGATGTATTCAGAAACCACCACATATGTGAACATAATTCATGTGATTATTATAAATATCAGTTCTGTCCTTTCGTGTGATTATCATAAACGTCACTGATATCCTGATTCACCTGATAATCATAAACAGTACTGTCCTGATTTATGTGATTACCATAAATATCAGTAGTATCCTAATTCAGTGTGGTTTTCATAAATATCAATGCTAGGTTCCTGTTTTGTGATGGTATTTCTTAGATTTTTAACAAAGATGGAACTTGTGAATTGTTTTAGGAACAATGGAATTAGATTTCTCATAAAACTCACAATTTGAAAAGTTTTGTTGTGAAACAAATGCTTGACTAATACAATTTACTTTATGTACAGACTAAAGATGGAGAATGGGCACTCAGCAGTCACACACTAGTAAAGATTTGACCTAATTACAGCCAGTTCCTGTTGCATCTGGTCAGCTTTTATTAGTGAGCTGCTGCAATAGAGAAATGGGGAAATGACTCTTGAGGGCCAGTAGTTTCTAGGTTCCATATACAGCATTTGCAAATCTAGAAATTTATTACCAGGGCTGGATTGGTGGGCAGATCTTTCTTACTGGGAAGGCCATGGAATTTCTACAGGCTTGCGAAACTGATGAAAGAGCAGGGAATTTACGGCCAGGGCAAAAGTGTTACATGATTGTATTCCACAAAGGGTTACATGATTGTATTCCACAAAGGGTGACATCTTCTCTTTGATGATGATGGTGTTTGTTATATAATATGTGACATAACTGATTGAGTGACAGAGTTCTGGAACCACATTTTTTTTCCCACTGTGAAAGACAGTTCATGTTTCAGTCTTACCCATATAGGTTCTCAGCATGTTCAAGAAATTCTCAGTCGTCAGAGAGGTTTCCAGCGCAGCTATGTTTCACCTGCAAAGATCCCTATATGTGCTGGAATCCATGTGTGCTGTTAAAAGCTGCACCAGATTTTTTCATTCTGAAATGTTGCCACGGCAGTGGTTACTATAGCCTACTTATTAGTTTCTAGTTTTTGACATGAGCACACTTCTTCATTTGCCATTTAAAGCCCTGGTCTGAGAAGACTAAGTATCTGATGTACTGCACAGGCATCAGGGGGAGTATAATATCAGCTATTGGAGGGAAAGAGGCGGAGGAAGACCAAGAGAGAAGATACTGGACAGTTTCACATCATGGCATAAAGCATCACCTGTGTTGGAACTGATTGAAAGATGCCAGAAGGTTTCGCATAGACATGACTACCAAGTCCACATAGCATAGACTATAAGAAGAAATTATCTACACAGGTGGAGGTGTAGCTACTGAAAGGGTGAAGTATGAAACCTGATCAAACAAAGGCAGAGAAGGTTATCTTGAGTCTGTTGGCTTCCTTTTATTACTTTCAGCTGCAGCTGTAATTTCTTCTTCTTCTTCTTCTTCTTCTTCTTCTTCTTCTTCTTCTTCTTTTCATTCGGTTTCGTATTTTTCAGGTGGGTTGCCTCTATGAACTCACATATCAGCAGCAGGTCCTTCATGGTTCGCCATAGCTTCCTCTGCACAGTTTACTCTTGAGGTCAGGTGTCTTTTCGAAGTTGTAGGTAGAGTGGGCAGGTCTGCAGAATATGCTCAAGTGTTTGTGGTCTTCAGCTGTAATTTACGACCAATGTGCCTCCTGGCCATCAATTCCACATTTCTAGCCTCAGACTCAACGTTTTCAGCTAAAAAATATCTGGCAGGTAGAAGCAGCCGCTATACTGACAAATTATTTCTGCATTACTTCCCTTTGGCTAGAATCACATGCCCTCCCCATGTGGGTTCTGGGGCTACATTTTGAAGAGCAAATACCCCCCCCCCCCCCCCCCCCCATGTGGGTTCTGGGGCTACATTTTTAAGAGCAAATACCCCCTCCCCCCTTTTATGTGGGTTCTGGGGCTACATTTTGGAGAGCAAATAATAAACCCCCCCCCCCCCCCCCCCCCCCCCCCCCCCCCTAAGAACCATGTCATAGGAGACTTAATATATTTCCTTCAAAGACAAAGTACATCTGCCTGAGAGGCATGGAATCAACAATCTGCATACAAATAAGTCAGATCTGTAAAACAGGTGCACACAACATTTAAGTTCTGGAACAAGACCCAAATCCAGAAATAGGTAAACAGCCAAAACTTTCTGCCCTAGCTTATACAGCCAGTGAAGAAGAAGAAGAACTTATTTCTGCATTACTTCTCTTTGTCTAGAATCATATGCCCAATGTGCCATTAGCATAAAAAGCCTTCTATACTTCTACTTGTTAGTTTATGAGGCTACCTGTCGGTTCTGGCCTCATGAATTTTGTAGCAACAGTGTAAGGTCATAAAAACTACATATCATTTTGCATGGATTTCTTCATTACATTTGTAACTAAGACAGTGTTAAATGTTAAAATGTATTTTAAAGTTGATTTGGGAATTCCCAATGTCATCGGGGGGGGGGGGGGGGGGGGGGGGGGGGGGGGGGGGGGGGGGGGGGGGGGGGGGGGGGGGGGGGGGGGGGGGGGGGGGGGGGGGGGGGGGGGGGGGGGGGGGTTCCTGCCAGGGGTTTCTGAGACGAAGGGTTAAACCTTGTAATTGGGAATTGCAATCACAGCAATGGAGTTTTTGTTTATTTAATAATTCCTAATGTTGCAGTAGACAGACATCATGTACATTTGCTGAATATGCAGATGTAATGAAGATCCTTTGTGTCCTTTCAACCTTGTAATTGTAACAAAGAACCTTTGCGTATTTTTAGAACCGCAAATGTAGCAAAGCAATTTTTGCTTTTGTTAAATATTGCAGTTCTAGCAAAGAACCTTTAATTTTGTTAAATATTACAATTGTAACATAGAACATTTACTTTTGTTAAATACTGCAGTTTGAACAAAGAACCTCTTTAGCCCTGCAGTTATGTAAATCACCCATTGTAACTCTGCTTAATGCTGCAGTGATACAAAGTTTCACATAACATAACCCTTGACCCATTAGGGTCTTAGAGGTGTATTGATGGAAGCACTGGCACATAGAACCCACCATCTTTCTCCGTCTTCTGCTTGATAAATAAGTATACAATAACTTAGTCCTGTCCATTTCTTGATGTCATTCCAGGTTCTTCTTTGCCCTCCTTTTCTTCGACTTACCCCCAGTGTTTCTTGAAGTACAGTCTTTGCAATCGAATCATTACTCACCATGTGCTCAAACCAAGCTAGCTTGTGATGTTTCATAACTGCCAAGAGAGGCTCCTGTTGTCCCACAAATTTTTAATAGAGATATTCTTTGATTTCTTTGGTACAAAGTAGTGTTCGTTAAATCTTTCAGGACCCACTCATGCCACGACCTTCTGATCCGCGGCGAGCATCTAGCCGCTCGGCCACGGCGACTCCCGGGAATTCATGTATCTTCTCTGTTCTTTATTTGAAACAGTTGCTCTGAATAGTTTGGATTTTGTGACGATTTGTGTGTGATATTTTATTAGAGTTACCAAATTCCAGATGCAGCTGATGGAAACCAGGATGATCCGATAAAACATTTTGTTCGACTGTATCCTATCCCATGTTATCGGCAATAGCTGCTGCACTTGCATTATTACTCATAGTATCAAAACTATTATTGTCTCTATCTGGCTCAGATTTATCAGCGACACAAATCACACAAAATTCTATCACACTAATTTAAAACAAATTGAAATTATTATTCTTGATTGCCCACACTTAGCAAATGAAAATACTCTGTTTCGCTTATTCTGGTTTTTCAAAACATGTTTATACAAATTCAATTTCCCAGCAAGCAAAACAATATTAGTCTCTATGCCAACAACTGATAAATTGGCGATATGTCTGAACAGTGCGGATTCTCATGCCGAAGTTAAACTTTACCTGTAGTCAAGTTACTGTCACTTTTATAGTAACAGATTCTTTGTATCTGTCTGCTAAATCGTGGAGTTGTAACACTAAGTAACAAGGAGTCTGTATGAGTGAAGCAGAGTTTAACTTTGGTCTTTACATCAGTTAAAATACTTATATGTAACTGAAATCCTGTATGTTTGTTAACTGTTGCAGTTAACAGATTATTTGTGACTGTTGGTTAAACTGATACTTGTATCAAACATTGTGTATGTCATCTGTGACAGTCACTGATGTGTTACTACAGAAACTAAAGATTTGCATTACTAAAACACACACAGACAGAAAAACTAAGGATTTGTGTTACTACAAAAACCATTAACTGTTATTTAGTAATTGCATTGATGATCTAGTCACCCTGCCATGTGGATTCATTGATTGCATTTGTTATTCATGAATCAATCATTATGTTGTGTTTTTATTGTTACTTGAGTGTAAATCATAATTTTTATGTGGTTGACCAGTCAGGCCACACAGTTTTTATATTTCTTGAGCTTCTTGTTAGAAATTGCTCTTGTGCAGAGCATTTTTTTCTTCTTCAGTATTTATGTGTGATTTAACACCCCCCCCCCCCCCCCTCCCTCCCCCAAATTGATGCTTGTAAAGTAAAATTGCCATTTTGTTGTTGTTGGTTGTGCATTAATGTTATTTCTTTGATAACGATTATATTTTCTGGTTTTATATATAAAAGATCGGGGTAGTCCCATTTCAGATACTGCTGTTATGGTGGGACATTTTTTACCATCACATATACTAGAGTGAATGTTTTATAAATAACCCAGACTCTCAAGTTGACCGTCTAAAATGGGTACCACATATTATCCTGGAAAGTAAAAGTGGCTGATGTGATGTTGATGTAAAATAAAAAAATGTTTGGGTCCGGCATTATGTGTCCAATGTACAGATGGCACGAAGAAGGCCGTTTACTT